CCTTGACCTTTGACAAAGTGAACTCAAAATCAATATATTATTTTTACTTGTTTTTGTTTAACATGTTTAAATGTCTTTGTGATCGAGTACAGCCATTTCAATCGATATTTCATAGTGGGTCTTTGTATGTTGTGGTGTTAAACCACTATCTCATGTTACGGTGAAGGTTGGCGGCTGTTCAAACGATAAACCCGCTGCATCCGCATGCACATGTCCTAAGTCAAGATCCTGCTGTTCAGATGTTGTCCTTGTTTGTGTGGTTCATAAGTGTTTCTCGTTTCTCTTTTTTTATATGGATAAGACTGTTGATTTTCCTGTTTGAATTGTTTTAAATCATTTGGGGTCCTTTATAGCTTGCTGTTCGGCGTGAGTCAATGCTGCGTGTTGAAGGGCGTACTTTGACCTACAATTGTTATTTTTTTTATACATTATGTGACTTGAATGGAGAGTCGGCTCTTTGGCACTCTTTTTATATGTTAAGCCCAATATAAATTAAATCTGGAAAAACATATTGACACAGTTGCTGCTGAGATCTTCATTATTGACTTTAATCAGTCTTCTTTATATCAAGAAGTTTTATAAAGTCACATTTGCTAAAAGGTAGACATAATATATCGCATGAGAACCCAACCTATTTGAGATCGACTAAAAGCTGTGCTGTCCTTAACATTTGACATCAAAACCACAGTATCTAGAAGGTTCAATCTCTTTCAAATTTTAACACGGAACTTAATCACTTCCCTTTCATCACATTTCGTGTATTTTTAAAACCTTACGGCCAAAAATGTGCACTCAACTGATATATGAAATTAATACATTTTTCGCTATTATTCACAAAAAGTTTCAATTAAGTGCACTAATATATGATACAAAGATAGTTATAATCATCCGTCAAATACACTTTGTTAGATAAGTTGTATAAAATCAAAATAATTGACGGATAGTTTCAGTTAGAATTCCGCAATGTACGATTCATCAAGTCCGTTGAAACTTGCTCCTTCAAGTCCTAACAAAAGACGAAAGTCGTTAAATTTTAAACAGTGCATAATATGCCAAAAAACATCGACTGAAAGTTTGAGTCAATTTACTAATATAGGGAAGTCGACTTTTGTGTCTGCAATGAACAAAGTACATCAAGGTTCTGGATGAATTGCAGGCAGTTTCCCATCGTTCATGCTACAAAAGGTACACAAGTAAACATAATTGTTTCCCTTTCAAAGCGATGTAGCTTCTAACCTGACATTTAATGACGACAGACAATCATCGGACTGTTGTCCCTCAGTTTTGGGTGTTTGTTCAACTGGAGTTCTTGTATATTTTGTTGCAAAAAAACATTTAAGTAAGATCAAAAACTCCGCAAGTTTGATACGATGAGCGTATTAAGAATGTACCCGTGGCAGAAAGGAATGACGATAGTTTAAAAGTTGAAATAGTTTCTCCTCCATCTTTTAAACTTCAAGCTCTTTATCTTTCTGGTTTCATTACAAAATATTTGCTTTAAACGAAAACAAAATCGGAACCCCTGGAAGCAGAAACCTCAGATCACGATACTGCTTTTACAAATTTTATATTGTCTATTGGCAACGATTTAATGGTGAAAAAACATTCATCAAGACAAACGTTACTTGATCAATATGGATCTTTTCTTCCTACTGATTTTAAGTTAAAATAGTCTACTTGGAAAATGCTGTCTTACGCATTGGTTTCTATACAAACTTAGTTGTCATACAACCATAACAAGGTAAAAGCAAATCTAGTATAGTATTTAGTGGCAACATAAATATTGGAGATGCCATGTCAGCTGCTAGTCAATTACAAGGTGACCTCAAAATATCTGATATGCAGGCATCAATGTCAACACTAATATACACTAATAAGGAACATATATTGCATTCCGCTGCAAGTATACATAGAAAAAACATCGAAACTACTAGTAGACAGATTTTCACAGAAGGATTCCCAAATTTCTGAAATGTAGTATGCTGGTTGTGTTTCTTCACTCGATTGTTTTGAGAGCAGTGGCGGACTGACTATTACATTACACCTATGAAATGTAGTGAGCTGGTTGTGTCTCTTTACTCGATTGTCTTGGGAGCAGTGACGGACTGACTATAACATAACGCCTCTGAAATGTAGTGAGCTGGTTGTGTCTCTTCACTCGATTGTCTTGAGAGCAGTGGCGGACTGACTATTACATTACACCTATGAAATGTAGTGAGCTGGTTGTGTCTCTTTACTCGATTGTCTTGGGAGCAGTGACGGACTGACTATTACATAACGCCTCTGAAATGTAGTGAGCTGGTTGTGTCTCTTCACTCGATTGTCTTGAGAGCAGTGGCGGACTGATTATTACCTTACACTTCTGAAATATAGTGAGCTGGTTGTGACTTTTCTCTTGATTGTCCGGGAGCAGTGGCGGACTGACTATTACATTACACCTCCGAAATGTAGTGGGCGGGTTGTGTCTCTTCAGTCGATTGTCATGGAAGCAGTGGCGGAATGACTATTACTTTACACCTCTGAAATGAAGTGAGCGGGTTGTGTCTCTTCATCCGATTGTCATGGAAGCAGTGGCGGACTTACTATAACATTACACCTCTGAAATGTAGTGAGCTGGTTGTGACTCTTCGTTCGATTGTCTTGGGAGCAGTCGCGGACTGACTATCACATTACACCTCTGAAATGTAGTGGGCAGTGATGTCCCTTCAGTCTATTGTCATTGAAGAAGTGGCGGACTGACTATTACATTACACCTCTAAAATGTAGCGAGATGGTTGTGTCTCCTCACTCGATTGTCATGGATGGAAGCAGTTGCGGACTGACTATTACTTTACACCTCTGAAATGTAGTGGGCTGGTTGTGTCTCTTTATCCGATTGTCAAAGAAGCAGTGGCAGACTCATTTAACATTACGTCACATACCTGTAAATGAGGATGATTTCTCTTTTCTCGATCGTCATGGAAGCAGTGGTAGACTGACTATAACATAACACCTCTGAAATGTAGTGAGCTGGTTGTGACTCTTCGTTCGATTGTCTTGGGAGCAGTCGCGGACTGACTATCACATTACACCTCTGAAATGTAGTGGGCAGTGATGTCCCTTCAGTCTATTGTCATTGAAGAAGTGGCGGACTGACTATTACATTACACCTCTAAAATGTAGCGAGATGGTTGTGTCTCCTCACTCGATTGTCATGGATGGAAGCAGTTGCGGACTGACTATTACTTTACACCTCTGAAATGTAGTGGGCGGGTTGTGTCTCTTCACTAGATTGTCATGGAAGCAGTGGCGGACTTACTATAACATTACACCTCTGAATTGTAGTGGGCTGGTTGTGTCTCTTTATCCGATTGTCAAAGAAGCAGTGGCAAACTCACTATAACATTACGCTTCATACTTGTAGATGAGAATGATTTCTCTTCACTCAATTGTCATGGAAGCAGTGGATGACTGACTATAACATTACACCTCTGAATAGTAGTTGGCGGGTAATGTCTCTTCACTCGATTGTCATGGAAGCAATGACGACCTGACTATACCATTACACTTCTAAACTGTAGTGGGCGGGTAGTGTCTCTTCACTCGATCGTCATGGAAGCAGTGATGGACTGACTATAACATTACACCTCCTAAGTGTAGTGGGCGGGAAGTGTCTCTTCATTCGATTGTCATAGAAGCAGTGGCGGACTGACTATAGCATCACCCCTCTGAATTGTAGTGGGCGGGTGGTGTCTTTTTACCTGATCGTCATGTGCATGATAAGTAATTAACTGACACACTAAAACCCTGACTTGTATAAAGTGGAGAGTAATGTCTTTTCAACCGATCGTCATGGAATAAATGTTTTATTTTTCTTCTAAGGGGAAGACAGTATCTTTTCACGCGACCGTCATGGCATTAATTGTGGGTTGACTGTCGCATTAGATCAATGACTTGTAAAATGAGGTACGTGTCTTTTCATGCGATCGTCACGGTGACACTTGAGGATGCAGTCACATATACTCAAAACTGTTAAGGGATGGCGGTATCTAACTATACGATCGTCATTGGAACAATTGTCGATTTACTATCACCTCATACCTCTGACCTGAAATTGGAGGATGGTGTTTCTATTCATGATCTTAATAGGGAGAATTGGAGATTGGCTATCACCTTACACGCTTGACTTCCGGTGGTAGAGAAGTGTCCTTTCAGAAGATCATAAATATACCAGAACTTGTACAATGGAATCTCTACCCAGGATCGTCTAATAAACAGTATATTGATTATGAATGTTTGTCAAATTACACTCCTTACTCGTAGAAGAATGGCGATAATTCTTCAGACGATTGTCGGAGGAACAATTGGTGATTGACCCACAACACACGTTTAGAATTTTAGACGAAAGACGATATCTCAACATACAACCATCAGGGGAACAAATTGAGATTGACTTTTAAAGAACATGTCTGACTTCCAGAGGGAGGGGGCATATCTCCATACGATATTTATTGAATCAATTAGGCATTGAAAGTAAAATCTCTCTACTGACTTGGAATTTAAAAAAAAACGAAAGACTCCCTAAAAACCCTATCAGCTTTTGGACTGTATTGAGAAAATAACAGAAGTTGATTAGATAACTGGATTTCCTCTCTAATGGACACTGGCTTAAAGTTCCAAACATCAATTGTCTCTTTGGCAGTCATACAACGTCTTCTAATTTTGATTTGACAAGGATTAAGTACACCTTAGTATGCACTTTGACCTTCATCCCTTGGTTCACTGTAGAGGTCCGTTAGCTGACATATAATAAAGTTGGTTGGTTACTGGAGGATGATCAAGGTTAGGCCAGACAGTGGTGGTTTTCATTAAATATATCACAACAAACACATTTTATATTGTGATTTTATAATTATTTCAACATCCAAATAACTATACACATATGCACAATCAATTAAAACAATGTTTGATATTCGGAATCCTTTAGCTTTATCCAAGTATTTTTAAAGGACATTTTAGAATTATTTTTTTTCATATAGTTTTTAAAAAGAAAAAGGTCCCAATGTAAAATGTATAAAAAAATCTAGTGAGAATCATTTCACGCCACATTTTCAAAGGATTATATTTCAGAAATTAGAATACAGACTTTTCGTCTAATTTTTGAAATCCCTTATTTATATTCTATCAATTTATAACAGTCTTTTAAAAGCTTGTTACTTGGAAATAAAGAAGTGAACATCCCTAACAGAGCCTTAGTTTCTATTATTTTTCTTTTCATTAAACGTCTTATATATAATGTAATTTTGCAGTTCCTAAACCAATATCTAATTTCTTAATCATTCCCTTTGCAATGCCATATATTCAATTTTTTTTACAAACTAACTCGCTTCTTTTATATTGTTTTACCTGACAATAACGAATTGAATGACCTCAAAAGAAAAACATTTTTACTTGAAAAGAATTTATTTTCTTTTTTTATTATTGTTTTTTTCCTGACAATCGTTAAATAAATGATTGCCAAATCAAATTTAGTCCTTCTTCCACAGAAATGGACATCCTCGTTTTAAATTGTACTATTTAAAACATAAAATTCATAATAGAACCAATACCTTTTTACTTAAGCTACAATGGAAATAACAGCTTTGACTAAAAGGTGTTTCTTCAGTTTATCTATCAAATAATTTCATTAAATTGATGTTAAAGACCAACACTTGGATGATTGCAATTACAGAATAAAATAATTGAATCCTTTATCTCAAATATCAAATACAAATTCGATTTTGACAGTTTGCAAAAAGGGTAAAAACTGTCACATAAATTTCTTTAAAATTACACTGAAATCTAAAAAAACAAAAGTAGTATAAATATCTTGAACATTCTTTTTAAAGAAATCACTCCCTTATTAAAGTATGTGGTACTCATTAAAACATAATAGTAATAATCACTCTCTTACAAATCACTGCCAATCAGTTTAAGTCCATTATCAAAAACGGCTGGACTACTTCTTTTTTAAATCCTACTATTTACAACATAAATCATCTTAGGTTACCAAACAATCTTATTTCAAACAAAACATTACATTTTTACTTAATATGTACAGAAAAAAAATAGCTTTAACAAACAGAAGCTCATTCAGCTTATATATCTATAAATTTCAAAATTATCATTAAATACCAAAAAGAAATATGCAACAATACAGAACTCAGAGAAAAATTGAACACAGAAATTCACATATCTATTGGCAAAATCAAAAGGTCAAACACATAAATAGAATGGATAACAACTGTCAAATGGATGATTACAATTACATATTTGCAAAAGGAGTAAAAACTGTCGCATAGATTTTTAATTTATTCTAGAAAATTAAACTGAAATCTAAAAAAATAAAGTAATCTTAATATAGTTAACTTTTATAATCAACATAATATAGATATAGGTATGAGGGCCAATGAGACAACTCTCCATCCCAGTAACAATTTATAAAAGTAAACCTTTATAGGTCAAGGTACTGCCTTCAACACGGAGCATTTGCTCACACCGAACGGCATGATATAGGTTGCACTTTGTAAATACAGCTGTTTCTCAAACCACGCCTCTTTTTGGGAGATATATAATATTCATAGATAATTAATTTTGTTTACGTACTGGTTCCCTGGTGTGATCTCTTTGTTTTATAAAGGGCCCCAAAAATTACTAGTGTAAAACCATTCAAACGGGAAAACCAACAGTCTAATCTATATAAAAACGAGAAACGAGAAACACGTATGAACTACATAAACAGACGACAACTACTGTAAATCAGATTCCTGACTTAGGACAGGTGCAAACATGCATTTATCTATGAGAGATAATTTTCATAAATATTTTGCCAGTTAAAAGAATATCATTTTTCACTGTTGATATATATATTGATAATAAATTAACAGAAAGAAGTTAAAAACATCATTTGAATATACAACTAATAAATATTTCTATTATCGTTATTTTTTCGATATAAAAAATAATAATGTATTACAAATATAAACGATTTATATCTTTTGTAACAATACAAAATAGTAAAATCAGTATATATCATTCCTAATAACACATTATAGCAATAAACAGTAATTCATTAAAAAAACAAACCCATGTTTGAAACTTTTATGAAATCATTGTAATTTTTTCATAGTTTTTGAAAATAAAATATTTATGTTAAATGAAGAAAAACAATCTAGAGGGAAACATTCCCCTTAAAATTTTCAATAAATTTAATTTCTAAATAAAAGACACACACCTTTCATTTTTTGTTGTTGCTTTTATTTTGTTCTGTTATTTATATACTTTTTATAACAGTTTTACCAATATCTTACTTTTTTTAAACATTGTAGCAAACATCCTTAATACGCAGGAATCAACAATGATCGCCAAAAAACCCCAACAATAATCGTAAAATGACAATCATAGCAGCATTTGTCAACTTAATTATTTTGAGTATTATGCATAAAATGCAGAGTAGGAATCAACATTAAATTAAACATAAATAAGTCTTAAAATGACAATATGAAGAAGAGGCTCTATTTAGACAGTAATTCAACAACATTACAATTGAAATAACATATAAATTAACATTAAATAGTACTTCATATTAGTGAACAGTGTATTACGTCTGAATTCATTCGGGACATTGAATTCATATTTGTACAAAACAGGTAAAAACAGGTGGTATCTAAAGCATGTCAAATATGTTCCTTCTGTTTCTGGTGATTATATTACATAGATAGCTGTAGATATCAAAAAGAGACAGAAGTAATAGAATGGATTTCAGTAGATTTCAAACAGAGACAGAAGTACTGGAATGAAAAGAAATAGATATCGAACGGAGACAGAAATAATATGATAAATAGTTGTAGACAGTAAAAAGAGACAGAAGTAACGGGATGAATAGCTGCAGATATCAAACAGACAGAAGTAATGGCATGGATAGCAGTAGATAACAAACAGAGACAGACGTAAAGGGATGAATAACAGTAGATATTGAACAGAGACAGAAGTAATCAGTTAATTATCAGAAGTTATCAAACAGAGACATGAATAATAGGACGAATAACAGTAGATAAAAAGCATAGACAGAAGTAATGGGGTGAATGGCAGTAAAAACCAAACAGAGACAGACATTGTGGGATGAATAGCAGAAGATATCAAATACATACAGAAGTAAGAAATAGGAACAGATTTCAAGCAAAAAGGCAAACAACAAAATATTAAAAAAGATCATCGTTTCATAGATCAACATTGGGATTAGTCTCTGACAGTAGACGTACAATTTCAGTATGTCCATTTTGACTTGCTATTTTTAGCGGACTACGGTAATCATTGCCAAATAGATCAATATTGGGATTCTTCTCTAACAACAACTTTACTATATCAGTATGTCCATTCTGACTTGCCTGTCTCAGTGGACTACATCCACTCTTGTTACAGAGATCAACATTAGCATTTCTCTGTAACAACAACTTAACTATATCAACATGTCCTTGCTGACTTGCCATGTACAGAGGACTACAGCCATTATTGCCACATAGATCAATAATAGGATTCCTTTCTAACAACAACTTTACAATTTCAGTATGTCCCTTCTGACTTGACATGTTCAGGGGACAACAACCTTCATTGTTACATAGATCAATATTGGGGTTCCTCTCTAACAACAACTTTACTATTTCAGTATGTCCCTTCTGACTTGCTATATTCAGCGGACTACCACAATTATTGCCACTTGGATCAATATTTGGATTCTTCTTAAACAACAACTTTACTGCTTCAGTATGTTCATTCTGACTTGCCTGTCTCAGAGGACTACATCCACTCTTGTTACAGAGATCAACATTAGCATTTCTCTGTAACAACAACTTTACTATATCAATATGTCCTTGCTGACTTGCCATGTACAGAGGACTACAGCCATTATTGTCACATATATCAATATTAGGTTTTTTCTCTAACAACAACTTTACTATATCAGTATGTCCATTCTGACTTGCCTGTCTCAGTGGACTACATCCATTATTGGCACATAGATCAACATTAGAACCTCTCTCTAACAACAACTTAACTATATCAGTATGTCCATTCTGACTTGCCTGTCTCAGTGAACTACATCCATCATTTGCACATAGATCAACATTAGAACCTCTCTCTAACAACAACTTTACTACATCAGTATGTCCGTTCTGACTTGCCTTGTACAGAGGACTACAGCCATTATTGCCACATAGATCAATAATAGGATTCCTTTCTAACAACAACTTTACAATTTCAGTATGTCCTTCTTGACTTGACATGTTCAGGGGACTACAACCATTATTGTCACATATATCAATATTAGGTTTTTTCTCTAATAGCAACTTTACAATTTCAGTATGTCCTTCCTGACTTGCCATGTTCAGCCCAGTAGCTCCATCATCTCTACACTGGTCCACATCAACATTATTATGTAACACCCACTGTGCCATATCAGTATAACCATAACCACATGCCAATATCAATAGAGTACTACCTGATTCATAGATCTCCTTTGGTGAATGTGTATCATATGCATTGGCCAATGTTACTTGTTGTGATTTGTCCAGTTGTTTTAAGTGATCTAATAGCTTTTGTCTAAATAATGGTTCTTTCATATTGTTGTTACCGAAAACAACTCCTATCTTTCCTGCTGTCAAGTGATTTACAAACCTTTCTAAATATGTTTCTAAATAATCATCTGGTATTTCAATAATGAAGTCTTTATTTCTGTTCTTGTCATCTGGTGATTTCCTCCATTTAAACCGTCCATGTACTAAATCACTATCACCATGGTCTATTAAGCATTCAATCATTTTCTGACCAAAGAAATGAGCAAGGAAGTCAAACAATTTATCATGTACAGTTCTATATATACCATTCTGTTTATGTACAAATGTACCATCTATAGTATGAAGGGCCTCTTTAAGTTCTTCCTTAGAAGTACTTCTGTTTAATCTACAAGCTCCACATGTGTCTTCGATGAGATATCGTTGCTCATTTGTAACTTTTCCTTTGAACCATTTTTCATTCAGTTTATTATTAAAGAGAACTAATAAACATAGACTGCATATTTTATAGTTTCCTTCATCACCACAACGTCTTAAATTATCTAGTTCATTTTGATAGATAATAAATGGATTTTTGAAAAATTCTTTAACATCTCCATGTTTCCCCTCATGATATAAAGAGCATAAAAGTGGAAAAAATTCACAATTCTGTGATAACCTATCAATATCGTTTATGCAAAAACGAGTATACGTTTTTATCAAATTATTTTTTTCTACAGATGTAAGACATAACTTATCTGACATTAAATTACATTCACATGATTTAAAAGGTACTAATATATTGAACCTATCATCTTTATATACTTGTAGCCTACAAGATACAATAATCTTACAATATTTGTCTGCAATAACTGTGTTTATCACAGGTAACATTTCTTTCCAGCTCTGAATCTGTTGTTGGTTGGCAGTGAAATTTCCACATATATCATCCACAATGAAGACTGTCTTTTTACCAGGTTGATAATAATTTCTGATATCCTCTGGTTTTATCACTGGTATTATGTTGTACCCGTTCTTTTGTAAAACTAGTGATGTATGTCTTGCAATGAAAGATTTCCCTACTCCTGATGGGCCAGTTAAAGTCAAACAATTGTTGCTCTGTAAACACTCGATGACGTAATCACTTGCTCGTGTAGTCACAAACATCTCATCCTTTTTCCCCAGTCTTTTAATTGTATTTCAGTTTGATCTGAAAAAAAATATAGTGTATATAATGAAAAATAAAATGCAATTGATTGATTGGTGTTAACTGCCACTTTCTGCATAGTTGATTTTTTCGTGGCTGTCAGTTGTTAATGGTGAAGGGAGCCGGAATTCCCCGAACCTCCAACCTTCTGTAGGAAAACTGACATACCTAGTCAATTATGGTTGGAGTCGAGCTCACCAGCCATGTAGGGGATTTTGAATCATATTATTAGTGTTCACAGGCTAGTGATACAATGATTGAGCTACCTTCACCACTCGGCCACCGAGACTTAAATAAAATTTTTATCTTTTATAGTTATGTATATATTATCATAAAAGGCATGCATAAAATAGAGAACTAAGTCTATGGTATACCTAGTTGTTTCACATTTTGAATTTTTGGGCCTTGTATAGCTTACTATACAGTATCGATTCTACTTATCGCGGAGACTGGATGAAGACCTGCATTAATATACGAGCTTGTTCTTTGTTGGAAACTTGTTTCATTCGTTATCAAATCACATCTGATTGTTCAGGTAACGGTATAATTGAACCCACACTAATTTTACCGTAATGCATACTCCTATTCGGATTGATTTTGATGAAATATTATAAAAAGGAGTTCCAATGTCGCGCGTGTCACATATTTTACCTGTCAATACCAAATTTATAAATAACTGGCAAAAATTGTACTAACAATGCAATGTCCTATAGAATTTATGTTTCCAAGAGACATATCTCCTTTCAAAATGATCAGTACTGATTTTCGAAGTGTCCGGCACACTCCTGATATACAACTTTAATAATCTGGCAGGAATCGTACATACAGGCAAAAAAAAATGTTATTCATTTGTTGGAATAGACATCAAGTTTTCTGTATAAATTGTTTACGAATGCATAATCTTAATCAACTAAATCGAGGCTTTTAAACTATTTGTGACCTGTTTTGTAATAAATGCTTCATACCTTCCATGGTTCATGCGAACCAATTGCATTAGATAATAACAAATTGAAACGTTATAAGGCCATTGGAAATCATTGGAGCCTTCCTCGTCACACACTTCAAGCCATAGTTAAAGTTGTGGTAATCATTGTTTTTTTGTCAATCGCCGAGAACAACTGTCCAATAAACATTAAAATGAGTAAAGTACAATACTTACACTAATTTTATTATTTTGAGTTCACCCCCGTCATTTGAACTGTCTTACTCTGACTCGTATTCGGACTCGAGTCGGAGTCATACACTTATTGTAGATCTCTAACAGGGAGTATTTACGGATTCCACTGTACCCTCGCAGCTCTTGAGGGGTGGTTCGAATAATTGATAGATTTACATACATACAAACAAACACAATACTTGATCTGTGTTTGATCACAACAACCATTGTGAAAAACCTTCAAAACATTTGGTTTACGCAAACTAGAGTATGGAAACCAATTTTCGGACGTACATGACGTATGCACGGACAAGTGTAAACCTTTATTCCCCGTCGTCTATCATTTACGTTATTTTACTATTAGAGTTATCCGTAATTACATGATTTCTTTATTCTGTACATGGCTTATTTCTGTAATAAGTAGTGTTTTCCCTTATTTTTGTTCCCACTGTCATTTGTTATACTTGTACTCCCCATTATTCTCCAATTTATTTTTCTTGGGTTATTTTTCTCTATTCATATTTTGGGCCTTATTCTCTTTCTATTACCATACCAAGACTCTATATTGCATACTCTTTTGACTTTGAGAGGTCGATTTCCATATGCAATAGCAAATTTAAATCACAGCTGTAAGAGTCAACTATCAGCCATTCTAACACGATTGAAAATTACCATATTTGGTCATGTATAACATTTTTTACCCAAGACAAATAGTTTGTAGATGGGATGCGTATTTTACAAAAGTGCGGAGGGTTTTTATTGTTTTTTCAATTATATTATGTTTAACGTCCTGTGTCAAATACTAAATGAATATTCTCTACAAGTACTAAATTGTATTATTACAGGCTTTTATTGTGAAGTTATAAAATATCAAAATACATGACATCAACTTTTAATTTACCTCTAATACTCGTTGGTATACATTCTTCCTGGTCAATTTCAATTTTCTTTATTTTCTCTTTTAGATCTGAATGTCCTTCTGTTTCTGAAATACGAACAGAAATCCTGTTGTCTATTATACTAAGCAAATTGCATAAACGTAATGTTAAATTCAAAATTATCATGCCAAACACATGTTTATATAATAATTAGAAGATGTGACATGCACGACCTTTATAAACGAGCAAAACCTTTACCACATAGAAAGCTTTAAATCGCCTCAACAAGACAAATGAAAACAATTACAACCCTTAATCTAACATGGGAAAGTTATGTATCGGCAAACCATAAGAACAAAGATAAACAAAGGCTCTGAAGATGTCACTTACCATTATCTACAACATGGCCAATTTTTAGTAAGCATTTTTATTAAAGGGGAACAACTCAATTATGAGTTAACTAAACATTTCAATTATGTTGACAACTTTAAAGATCTTATCTTGGTGATAATTTTTCTTTTCTTTTAATCTTCCTATTTTTATTATCCAAAATACGTAAACATAACCATTAAAGGGCAAATACTCCAGTAACCAGTTACATGAAGATTTAATTCATTATGATTTTTTGTAGATTTCGCCTTGCTGTGGATTTATGTTTTTCAAAACTTCTAATTTTATATTACAATTTTCAAGATAATAGGCAAACATTGAAAAAAAATTGGGAAAAACGTCACCTAATGGGCAATTACCTTAATAAAGATTCATTTAATTTGTCAAGTTGCATTATTTGTAGATTTTATCTTGCTGATGATATTTGCTTTTTGAGGTTTCCATTGGTCTTTGTAAATGATTTTATTAGACAAAACGCAAAAAATTGTTAAAATCAAGGTAAATCAATAACAAGAGGCTGTCGAGTGACAGCAAACCGGATTTTCCTGCAGAGGTCGAATCCTGAACAGTAGAGCAAGAATGGACAACACATTTAAGCTTGAAACAGCACTGAATTGGATTATGATCGAATATCTAAAATAAATTATCATATAATTAATAATGAAAAGGATATTTGCAAATCTGAACCCCAAACAGGATCATGTAAACATTAAACATTAACAAACACAACAACAAAAAGTACCACATAACAACTGTGACATCTACCTTCATAATACACATGACTGAAAAAAATAGTTATGAAGAAATTTAGATTTTATCATTACTGGTTCACGGAGTAAGTTTGAGTTATTTCCCTTTGAGCAGAACAATGGTTTAACATAATACAAAATAATTAGATAATTATGATTAATAATTCTCTAAAATTAGATATGATGTAACATAATGTATATTTATTTTCAAAATATAATCAAATATAATTACTAGTTCAAAACATTTTTCTTTCATTTGTCACAAACAAATATAGATTTGCAATTTATCAATGTCAACAGTTTTAAATGTAATGAAATATCCTATTAATAAGTTATGATCTAATTAAAGGCGTTCACTTCATAAAAAGACAGAGATGACAGAGTTCTCAAAACATCAGCAAACCAAAGAACCCAAGCATGCAATGTTTGATGAAATTAAACAAAAGTAGTGGAGGAACCTCTGGACCAGTCCATGTGGTATTATCTAATAAATAATGAAAACAAATACAGGTTTAGTTCAGAATTTCAAAATACTCTGCATATATTCAGTTTATGTTGAAATCAAACACAGTTTAATTTTGTACCAAAATCGGGACCAACTTAAAAACTGAGCTAAAAATCAGAAATCTAAATGTATGTTTATTTATAGACAATATAAGCCCAGACCTGCCAATTTTTGAAAATTTCCATGGGGGATTTAGTGTGCAACAAGATTTTTAAGGGTTACAATTTCTGCGGCGTTTCTGTGTGCACTTTTTTTTACCCTTGACATAGTCTCATATCTCTTCTTTTTTCTTTTGATATACTGATGATGATCTAATAAGATTTGAATTTTTTTATTTGCATGATTTTTGTACTTATTAATTGGCAAAATAACTCAATAACTTAATATAGAAAAATGTCATTAAAAATAAAGGGTATATAGTGCAGACCCCCCTTCTCCCCCTCCAAAGAACTTCTTATATTTGCACCATGATTCTAAAGACCTAAACCTAAATATCCTAATGTTAGAAGGATGAAGACAGATTTTGAGTTAGTCTATCAGTATTAATGAGACAATGGATTAATTTGAGTTATCTTTCTTTTTGTTCAGATGTGCTCTTATCGGCGCATGCTAATAAACAGTAGAAATTAATGCAAAATGGCGTCAATTTTAACTCAGAACTGCACAGAAAAACATGTAATTTCAAACATTTAAACGGATTTCAAGATAAACACTGTTTTCTAATGAGATCATTACAGTTTTGTCCTTCGATTAATTATGGATTTTGTCATGAAAAATAAACTCATCATAGATACCAGGATTGAAATTTTGTATTTACGCCAGACGCTTGTTTCGTCTTCAAAAGACTCATCAAGTTTTGTTAACAGTTAATTTATAATTATGAACATATCAATCATAACTCAAGTCTACACAGAATTACTGACTACTGGGTTGGTAATTCCCTTGGAGAATTGAAACTCCACAAGCAGTGGCATCGACCCAGTGGTTGTAAATAAGCTCATTATAGATACCAGAATTGAAATTTTGTATTTATGGCAGACGCACGTTTCGTCTTCAAAAGACTCATCAGTCACGCTGGAACAAAAAAATGTTAAAAAGGCCAAATAAAGTACGAAGTTGAAGAGCATTGAGGACCAAAAATTCCTAAAAGTTTTGCCAAATACACCTAAGGTAATCATTCCTGAGGTTGAAAAGCCTTAGTATTTCAAAAATTCAAAAATTTGTTAACAGTTAATTCATAATTATGAACATATCAATGATAACTCAAGTCTACACATAAGTTCTGACTACTGGGCTGGTGATACCCTCGGAGAATTAAAACTCCAACTACGGTAAACGTTGCAAATTATGATGATATTATAGATTGATTAAAAATGAAATGCCGACTGACTGATTCTATTCACTTACGCATTAAGTAATTTTGAAGATTGTTATGACCCATCAGATAAGCAGATTACATGTAACAGCAAATCATGTTGTGATTATCTAGGGTCGTAAACTTGTCATAAATAAGTAAAATTATTTTAAAGAGTTCACTTAAAAAAAAAATATATATCATTCAGAAAATAAGTTTTTACAGAATAACAAACAAATTACCACAAACTTCTTTTAAACAATTTTCTAATTTTTTTTTATCATAGTGCCTTTTAAAAATCTAAAAAAACTTATCTTTAATTATCTTCAAAATGTCTTAAAATGAACAGTCAATTTCTTACTATATTCATACAGACCTATAGAATTGTATAAAGCTTATCATCAGCTGTAGGAAACATTTCAAATAAATCCTCTAATCAGTAACGGATATTTCCTTCGAAAACCCGGTTAAAAACCTTTCATATATTTTATCATAGCGCATTAGATGGATTTCAATCAAAAATAGTTTAATCAAAATCAAAATTTACTGACTGTTTAAAAAAATCGCCATATAAAAAAAAATTCAACATACTGTTTTCAATGAGCATTGCACAGGTACACCCGTAATCAAACCAATTTTAAACTTTGAAAGTTTTCAATAAAGGTTTTAATAAAATGTAATGTAACAAAACCCTTTTAGCAGTTCTGAATAGATCACTCAAAAACAAAAGGAACAACTCTATTAAGAGTTAAATGACAATTTCAATTATGTCGCAATAACGAGTCGACTGTAGATTTCGACAATCCAGGGCGTATTTGTAGATCTTATCTAGCTGATCATATTTGCATATAATGTTTAATTTTTTCTATTTTGTTTTTTTTTAGATATTTGACAAGACTTAAAAAAAAAATCATCAAAAATCAAAATTAAATCAGGAGACGTAGGACGATTTTGATGATGTGTAGCTATTGTCTTGCTGATAATGTTTGTTTATTTATATTTCTGTTTATCTATAATAATTTTCAAGATAATAGGGAAATATATTCAGAATGGTAAAACTCGTCATCTAACATGTCTCAGGGTATTAACTCTTATAATAAGTCTTCTGGCAGTTTTGACGACAAAAACACAGTATTTAGAGATGTATAAACATTTTACTTCAGTTTAAAGTGATTTTCAAAGCAATGTCAAAACTTGCATTTAATCCATATGCTCTATTGTTTTGCCATGTCAGCTATCTTGGTTTACAGCTAAAATCATTGGAAAGATTTTTAAAATTAGATACCCAAAAGATGATTGTGGCCAAGTTTGGTAAAATTAAGACTTGTGGTTTCACAGGAGAAGATCGTAAAAATTAACGGACGAAGAGTGATGAAAAGTGCTCATTTGGACTTTCAACCAATCGAGCTAAATAAAGGCTTTAAAGGGCAAGTGCCTCTCACTTGCATCTTTAACAATAGGGAATTACTCTTTAACAAATGTATAAAGAGTCAACCGAAAATTTCAGTCATGTTGACATATTTTAGATATTATCCAGCTGACATTTTTCCTTTTTGGGAAGATTTCAATAAACTACATGTTTTCCTAAAGGCATCGGCACCAACCAGAAGGAAGACATATTACATGCTATAGGGTGGTTGCTCTTCTCCTACAAATTGTAGAACTTTTGTTTGAATTCTAATTTTAAGTTGATGTTTTTGAAATTTTGAGTTTCTACGTTTGTATAAGCTCATAACTTCAACAAATATGTACCAAATGTTTACAGACAATTCAATGAATCCAATTCCATTTTTTGAAATGATTACCACAATTACAACTTCGCTGATCTGCCTTCAGTGGAAGAAAATATCATAACAAATGTGCATGAGACAGAATTTCAACTTTTTGATAAAAAAAAATCGAGAGGGACTAATTCATTTCAAGGTGAGTTTTTCTTTCACTCAAACTTCAATGTGTGTGCATAAATCAATAGTCCGTTTTGATGAAGTTGACCAGTAACCAATTGTTTCTATTCTAAGACATATTATTGTTGTGTTTTGTCATAGTGTGTGCATATTCCTTACGTATGCACACCGCACCCAACATTTTAGTTTTTCCTGTTATCGTATCGTGCAGGGATTTTAATGTACAGCCACTTACTAGTATTTATGACTTATTATTTAAATATATCTTGGTCAATACTTAATTCTATTCAACAATAACCAATGAAAACATATACATATTGAACATATGTAGTAAACATTACAAAAAATACTTGAGATTTAAATATGAATGAAATCTTTGCAGAGTTTAAAAATGTAAAAATAAGATCAACTACTAAGTGATATACGATAGCCTGTTTTAAGTTCAATGATTGTTAGTTAGAAATGCAGATGTAGTTTTTCAACAATATATTGCCGAATTGAATTTTAAGGTGCCTCGATCTTCCAAATTCTGTTCTGCCATTGATTGCAGGGGTGTTGGCAGCAACCTTCCGTCTATGAAAAGCTTAAAAACGAACTTGACAGCATTATACTGTGAATAAACTTGCAGCTTAAAAGAGTTAACTGAGAACACATGACTTAGAAGTATTATATCAGAGAATTCACAAAAGTGTGAGAGCTAGATAGTTATTTCCTAACAAGCCAAGAACTTTGGAACTTGTTATAAGAAATACCATAATAACTGTTAATTGTATGTGTTGACAAAACTACCAAGGAACTAAATCTATTGCCTCTTAATCATTGTGAAAGGAAAATGTATATCATGTAGTGAAAAAGGATAATTAAGAAACCGAAAAAGGCCAGTGGCCGAAACATCTTACAAAATGGTTTATTTACTTCAATAATGAAATTACTTAGAATTAATGGACCAGAAATAGATCATTCGAGAATTCACAAATTGATTTTTAAAACTGATCAAAATATGTAATTAAAGATATAGATACATTGGTGATATTCTGGTAAAATTCTCAGCTTGTTTAATGTCAAGTGAGCTAAAAGGGAAAACAGAAATTGTATAACTCATACGGGGTTATTTTAAGTTCCCTAGGTTTTGGTAGCGATTCATTAACACAAGTTTTTCTTGTCATTAAAATGGAAAATATAAAAAAATGCATAAATAAAGGCAACAGTAGTATACCGCTGTTCGAAATTCATAAATCGATTGAGAAAAAAAAAACCAAATCCGGGTTACAAACTAAAACTGAGGGAAATACATCAAATATAAGAGAAGAACTACGACACAACAGAAACACAACACTAAAAAGTAACACACACAGAAACTATAATATAACATTGGCCATTTTCTTGACTTGGTACAGGACATTTTAAGAAAAAAATGGTGGGTAAATACCGGATAAGTTTATATATTTTGATGACAGCAAACTGGTCAGTGTTGTATTAAAAAAACATTTTGATGTATCAAATATGATTAACTCTACAGTAAATAGGATGTAAGCACTGACAAAACTTAAATTTTGATAAATGTTATTATATTATGATATATAATGACGAATATCGTTAATTCTGGTACTTTCGTGATTCCTGATCAACAGATGAAATCGCTTTATTTTAAAATAATAACAATTTCGAAAACATATTGTTATTGTTTAGAAAACTTATAATTTGACACAAAAATTTCATAAATGCAATAATAAAGCCGTCGCAATTTTCATGATAAGAGTAATCATAAAAATATATTAAAACTATGTAAAAAAAAACTTATATGAATGTGACTCAAATGATTATGAAACTAAATAACTTTAATACGTCCTATGCTCTTTCCTGAATTAACTTTCGTAATAGAAGCAACGCATACGACAAAACATTTTGAAGCTAAGGGTTTTTCAAAACTCAAATACATGGAAACTATGTGATCAATCAAAAAGAACCAGAGAGGAATCCAACCGTAAGGCAGTTTTGCAAGCGGGAATTGACATCTTCCATTAATTATATATTCTAAGTTTATCAATGAATAATTTAAGATATGAAGTTAATGAACCATGTTAGTACCGATGCAGTGACTATGGAACTTATGATACCATCGAAAACAAACAAACAACAGACCTCAGCACAGACCATGGCTAAATATGGGCTATTTAGTTCATACTGAAGAATCATGGAAAGTAAAGGTAACATTTAGTTGGGTTATTTTTCATTATACATTTCAATTTTCTAGAATTCAAAATTATTCCAGATTCATATGATTCCTTATTTTACACATATAATGCATTGTACCTGTAATTTCTGATCACTATAAGAAATGACAAAATAAATATAACCAGATTGCGGGCAAGTTGTCTACACACTTAAGCTTGTGAATAAAAAGTTTGAATGTATGGAGTAAAATTGTAAAGTCATGCTCAAAGATCACTCAAGACACTTTCTTTTTCTAATAAAACATTACCTTTTTCTATATTTTGAACAGTTGTTTCTAGCTTTGTTATTTTTGAAAAATGCACCGCTAGTTCATTGCTTTGGTCATTCAATCTTTTGAGATTACGGTGAATACTGAGACCAACATAAACAAGTTCTTTAAGTGCTTTGTAGTCCAAAATTTTAGATTTTGCATCAGCTGCATCTGTAACATCTTGGTGATTTCCCAAACCATGGATCGCCTTAAAAATATAAAAATTAAAACAAAAAATAATATTTAAAAAAATCATGGGAACGTAATCATTGTACCCATCAGTTTTATTTAATCTTTCATGCAGAAAATACTTAAATAAGAGGATGTGGTATGATTGTTTCAACTACCTTCCAAAGTTTAAGTGAAATGAATGTAAGCATTTATATATGCAATTATTTTAAGTGAAGTCAGTTCTGACCCATCAGATAGCTTTTGTAAAACCAAATGTTGATCAAATTGTCATAAATATTTTCCTTCAAATCTATTCTAGTAACTAGTATTATAGAATACATATAATCCTGTTAATTATTATGGTTAAACAAAAAAATAAACGAGTAGACCTATTCAAACATTAGTATCGATACTTTGAAATAGAAAAAGGCAGAAAAAAATAAATCAAACTACGATCTTTTGTACTTATTTCAATAATAACATGCTATGAACACAGAAATGTCTTATCATTTTGAACTAAAAGGTCTTATTTAATTTAGGAATATGTTTGCATGTCATATATGGCAAATAATATATATTGCTATCAACAAAATTATTCTATTTAAGTTAAATTTGCTTTATTGAACGCCATTTTGTTCTTTGTTAACGTTGTCTTTTTGACATTGTTACACACTTTTTTTATTCATATCGTATCATCGATCAAACTTATTCGTTTAGTGTATATTACCTGCTTTTGTGTATATGTTTTTGATCCTTTGGGTCATACGTGTTTCTCGTTTCTCATTTTTTTATATAAATTAGACCGTTGGTTTTTCTGTTTGAATTGTTTTACACTAGTCAATTACAAAAAAATATAAAGGAAAACATGTCACTAAATAAACCAATGAGAAACAAGGAAAATCAAACCATAGGTAATGTTTTGTTTTATATTTGTCAATATACTTATACAAAACGTAAGCGAGGTGTAACATGTTAAATTCTAATGCTAACCCATGTTAAAATAAATAAAGAGCATTGCATGAAAGACTAATGTCGATTGATACTTAGAGAAAGATCTAATGACTTTTGTACTTCAAATCGGAACTGCAAGACATGTTTCAAAAACAACACTGAGTTGATATGGCCAAAACTTTACAGAAAATCGACAGTTTCATGATTAAACTACAGGCTCTTAAGAGTCTGTGTAGCTCACCTAGGTCGGTGTGCATATAACCGAGAAAGGAAACTCTGTAACATTGTACACGAGATTAGACTTCATCATGTTCATGACAACAATCTCTATTTCTTTTTTGTTCATCTAGTATTGCTGATCAATTAGTCTGTTTAGTTTCTCTCTGTCTTCTTTAGTTTATGCTCAAAACATAAAAGAAGGTATACGATACTCATTTTGGGGCAATCATTAGTCTAAAGAATGAAAGTCTAATAACTATATAGGCAAAATTTCACTAGTTTGTAGATCTTGCCTAGTTGATCATTTTTGTTTTTTTAAAGTTTCTATCTATATTTTGTAGTTTAATCATATAAGGCGATACGCAAAGAAAAATGGTAAAAATCGTCATTAAAGAACAATATCTTCAATAAGACGTCAGCGGACGATTTTCTCTATATGTCTAAAATGTTGATTTTGTCTTACTGATTACTTTTGCTTATTTAAGTTTTTATCCATCCTTTATAATTTTCAAGATAAAAGTAAAAACACAAAAAAATAGGTAAAATTTGTCAAAAAAGACCAATAACTCCTTATAAAAGTCGCATGCCTGTTTTTACTTAAATGGACAATGTGCCATGTTTGTTGACTTCCATGTTTATATAGGTTATACTTACTGTTTTAGTCAAATCACCATTAACATTTATATACCGTAAATGGTATGTTGCTATAGACATGATGAGCATAATTGTTTTTTATATAGTAAGAAGTTTACATATGTCAGAGTTCAGACTAAAAAAAGTACTTATTGATTTTGACTCGCAGATGTTTTAATTTGTATGTTTCATGTGTTTGTGCTCTTTATTTCAAAACAAAATAAGACCCCAACAAGTAAATTAATGTTAAACAACGTCATCACAATGTTGCTATTAATAGGAAAAAAGTAAAAATCACAAAAATACTGAACTCCGAGGAAAATTCAAAAGGAAAGTCCCTTAATGACTTCTTCAAGTCAATACGTTACCAATATCTGTTAACTTCAAGACCCGTGCATAAATATATAAAGATCAATTGAGAATCAACATGAGATTGTTAGACAACATTTTGGCTTCTGAAGAAAAATATGAATTTGATTAAAAAAATTGGAGACCGTGTGCTCATTCACTTTCTGATGCAACCATGTACAACCATTAAAATTGGGAAAAAAAACTTAGATGTAACGAACTAGTGTCTAATCATATCAATACCTGTATATAGCTCCGTTACTTGTAAATTATCAGAAAATATTTAATTCTCATATGTGATGTACTTTAGTCACAAAGTCAAATTATGTGTTTCGAAATCATCCTGTTTTATAAACCAAAACAGAATTGGACAAATCTGTCATTTTCTGACTTTAACACGTTAAATAGACAAGTTTAAAATTGTAAACACATTTTTTATCTAAATTCATGATTTGACGGCTATAAGTGAGACACAAAGACAGACTTCAATATGTCTGTGCTCTGAATATGTATTTGGTATAATTGCAAATGAGGCAATGATCTTGAGGATTTCCCTTGATTCAGATGTAACCAACTTAATGGTATATTAGGGCCCTTAACAACGAAAGAGTCATCTATCGTATATCAAAATCTTGTCTCTTTACTATTCATGTTTGTTTATTTGTTTGTTTATAACCAATAAAAAATAATAGTTTCATACCATTTCCAATTCGATCCATATTCTATTGTAATCTGTATCTGATAGTTTGCCGTCTTTTGAATGCGAAACAATGAAATTTTTATAATATTTTATCCGTGCTATGTGTGCACCATGGGACGAATCAGTTGACTGTGGTAGAGCATCAAATCCAGCATTCGGTGGTGTGATATATGGTGGCAAATTTCGTAGAAGACAAACCATCAACGTAACATCTAAATCGGCAGAGGAAACTACAGGTGACCCTACGAGAAAGTATGAACAGTTTAATATGTTATCTTTCATTAATTTTTATCTTATGAACTGCTATGTGACGAACTTTAAATTCACTCACAGTTTTAGCACTGTCTCATTGTCAAGTGTACACATGAGTCAAAGGGCTTTCCTTAGTGTAGCCATATGGACGGACAGTAATGCTTTTTAACGATTTCCTATTGCCAAAAACCCATGATACCTTTCCATCGTGCATGGTTCTTTCCATTTGTACTTTACATGTATATTGCTTAATTTGTAAACTAGTTTGGTAATTGTTGTCCGTTCTCTAGTTGTAACTATGTACATTCTCTTTCCAAATTTATTAACCTGAACGAAATGCCTACTTTAGCAATTCATCAATACATTGTAAAAGATACCTGATTGAATATACAGTTAATAGTGATATACATGTATCATCGAACACTCAATGTTTGTGTTATAAAACAAGGAAACGTTACAATAACAACAAATTGCATGATTTATCGCAATGGCTACTCGTCCAATAGGACATGTGAATTTTATTAACACCCTTTTACCAACATGAAAGGTTTTAACCTTAAACTATCTGTTTATGATATGGACCATTTTACAACACTCTCTTTCAATGTCTTATGACTGTAGATTAAACAAAATGAATTAATTTCTTAATACAACAAGACCACGAAATTGAGTTTCACGGAATTAAGACTAAATTTGTAAAGTGTTTGTCGTTTTTAATTTTTGTATAAAGGCCAACATGATGAGTTTCTTATAGAAGTATGACCTCTGAGTACCATCAAGAGTATCTACCACTTTTCATTTTATTCATATTCTAAATCCAATTAAAAAATTACCTGATGATGGGTATAAAGTATTCCATTGTTCCTGATACAATACTTTCCTTTGCCCTTTGGGTGGTTTGTGCAGGTTTGAAAGTATTGCCTTATTTGATGAAGATGACAAATCTGATTGCAAATTAGGATGAACACTGTCAAAATACCTCCTTAGCGCTGTTGTTCCTACTCGGTAATTTAAGTAAACAATGCGAAGAAAATTATCTTCTTCCTTAGTCATGTTAGTCGCCATGACAACATTAATTTAGTAAATGTTCAAATAATTTAGTGTAAGCCTATAATAGTCGTTAAAAACTCTGTTTGCTCCTCCGCAATAATCATCATTCGACTGTCTATCACTGTCTTCTGAAAATGATATCACACAAAAGGATTAAGATTTATGGTACACAAAGCGTTTATGTTCAACATTGTAAGTAGCTGTATCCATATATATATATATATATATATATATATATATAGTGTCTTTGTTTATAGATATGTATTAATATGAATATAAAGAGTACAAACTAGGACCCGTCACAGTAAAAATATGTACATTGTATGAATAACATGGTTGTAGTGTAGGGTTTGCTAAATGTAATGCCTATATATGTTTATAGCAAGTATTATATTCGTGTTTAGTTGCTATAGAATTTTAAAAAGATGTATCTGTTTTGTATACGTTGAATAATAATTGAGAGAAACCAGATATAAAAAAGCTGATAATTTGAAACGGTAAATCGCAGATTTAGACAACAAAAACGACGAATACCGTTCTTTCTTCACCGTACCTTGAAGTCGCACTTTATAACTAAACCATCGTACCTGGAGGAAAACCCCATGTCGTGTAAACAATTATTTTACTACTTCGCAAACACATGATTTCCCATAACAGATAACAAATATATAAAGCTTCCGCAAACTGATAAAAAACAATTTTGAAACGTAACATGCTGATCGTATGAAAAAGAGGCTACAGTTATATATAAGACACTTAAACAGACAAAAGGCAAACGATACCAATTGGACATTCAAACTTATAGTCGAAAGTAAACTGACAACGCCATGGCAAAAAATAAATCAAAAGAGAAACAACTGTACACAAAACACAACATAAAAAACTAAAGACACGATCGCGAATCCCACCAAAAACAGAGGTTTATCTCAGGTGCTCCTTTAAAAGTAGATGTGAAACTTACAATTCGATATTGAAAAGAAACATGAAAAATGGAAAAGATAAAGAACAGACCAAAACGGGCTACATAAAGAGTAAAATCACAAACGAAAGACTGAAATAAACCAGGGTTGATCTGAAGTACTCTGGAACGGCAAAAAGCCTGCTCAAAATATGACACTTGAGTGAGGTCCAAATGATGAAAAAAAATAACAAAATAATGAACTCCAAGAAAAATATAAATTGAAAAGTCCATTATCAAATGATAAAATAAAAAACTCAAACACATCAAACGAATAGAAAACAACTGCTATACGCAATTCCTTATGTAGAAACATGTGGATTAAACTTGGTTTTATAGCTAGCTAGGCCTGTCAGTGTGTGTACATTTCAAATTTTAGATGGGTACTTCATTTTTTCATTTTTTCATATGGAAGAAATAATGAAACAGAGGAAACTATTTTATACAAAAGCCACGTGGATTTGCATGCACGTTATTGTACCTGAACTGTGTATACTTTAGATCGGCAACATTTGTTTAAATGATTGTATATCGTCTTTTCGAAATGTTTGGCAATGACGTCATGTTACCATAAAGCATTGTCACGCATTCATTTCCATTCATGCAATCGAACATCTATCACTATCCCTTTTACGCGTCAAAATGTTTTACTAACTATTTCATTGTATTTTGTATTTTCAAACCAAAAACATATTGTTTAAACACAATTGTCGATAACAACAGTAATGACATTCTATGTTTTTGTATAATGACTTGACTAGCTTGAATATCAGATCACCCTTGTCGTGGGTAGCTTGATACTCTTGCTGATAAAACCAGTAACAAAAACAAAAAGGTCATTATCATATATAACAATGTATGAATCTTTGTTGGCATGTGTAAATCATCTTTTTAAGACACAATAAAAGAAAAAAAAAAACTCACCCTTCCTCACAGTAGATATACAAAATGGCGTTTGAATGAAGTGATATAAAATGGCGTTTGAATGACTTCATTTGTTGAATTAGTATTTCTTTTAAAACAGGTTTTATTCAACGATGTTCAAGTGTACAGATACATGAAGTTTAAAGGGACGATAGTTCAATGGGAGCAACGAAATGGAACGGACAACTAATCCATAATTATATTCGTGTTAAATGTATAAACGTCTAATGATTTTACGCATGTGTACTATCATAAGGTTGCTTTTAATGTTATATTATCATAAGTAATTTAACAGATTTTAAAGTTTTATTATGAAACGCAAACCCAATATTTTTGACACTCTGTAAATATCAAAGGTTATGAAATATTGATTTCAACTTATTAATTAGGATTTCAGTAATATTTGTATTATATGATGGACTTAAACTAATAAGAATACAATTATAATATATTAGTAAAAATGTATGCTGTCACACAACCACATCTTGTGCCGTCTCAGCATTCTTGGAAATGGACACAAAGATACACAAATGGGACTTTTGTAAAATAAAAAAAAAACATTTTGTTAAACATTTGATATAAATATACTGTTTGCACATGAAAGGTATAAGAAAAAGTCTACAAAAATATACTCAAACGACTAGAAATACTTAATTATTGCTTCAGACGAGAAAAATATGTTTGCAAACAAAAAAAGCATTCCCTTATCTGTAGAAAATAAACTGCAATAAATATGGCGAATACACAGTACTAATTGTATCAATGTATGAGACAATACCCATTTTTCTGCGGTTAAAATGCATAATATTGTTGAAACCGAAAAAAACAAGACTTAGTAATTTCCTTATTTTCACTCCTTTAACATGTTTAATAGGCCGTAACATGTAATAACCGTGCTTTAAAAAAGAAACTTGTAATTCTTATTATAAGAAACACCGAATTAAGTGTGTACGACCAAATGAAATTAGATTAATATGTATGGATATGAGAATTTTGATAACCCAGTCTGATATCAATTAAAGAAGTTGAATAAATCATTCATTTCCCTTTGTCCTAGGCAGATATGAATAATATATCACTCTTCCCAAGTTTGATTTATCTCTCAAGACAGTAAAATAACAAAATTACCGAACTCCGAGGAATTTTCCAAAAGGAAAGTCCGTAATCAAATGGCAAAATCCAAAGCTCAAACACGTTAAACGAATGGATAACAACTGTCATATTCCTGACTTGGTACAGGTATTTTCTTATGTAGATGGAAAGTTTAATGTCACACTATCAATATTCTCAAAGCAATTTGCATCGTACGCTGATGCTTTGTAATCTATCTTTTGATGACATCAATGATATCATTGTTGTAGACAATAACTAAAATAATAATGTTTTCCTATAAAAAAAAAGCATTGCTGTATTTAAGTACACAAATCAATGTAAACAAATTTTACTTTTCTTGTTATTGTGGTTAGTGTTTTACTGATTTTAAAGATACTTTCAGATTTTTAAGGCAAATAACATGGTTTTTCTGTTTCTCAGAGAAATGTTTTTTTAATTTTCATGGCTATTTATTCTAAAAATGTATGGAACACATTCAAGCATATGCACATTCACAAGTATATCACTATTCTTGATTTAAAGACGTGTAATTATTAAAAAAAAACGAACTGTTGCAACATAAGTAGTTAAAACCCGCACTATTCTTGTCAAATTTTTGTTAACAAAGTATATATGTTACAGCAATATTCCTTCGTATTTCTCCTTGAAAAGACAAAAAAAAAAATAATCACTTAACATGTTTAAAAAGTATTTTTTATTTAGAAATCAATTGATCCTAAAAGAATAAAACACAATTATTTACCTTCTATGATAATTGAAACGAAGTTGAATAGTATCTAGACATTAAATCGTACACAATTTTTCTCATTTTAATTTTATATATTACTTGGGTCAAAAGTAATGATACAGATGTTTACCTTAATAGACATATATTTTTTTGCATACAACTGAAATTTAAAAAGTGCATATGACGTGAAAAGGTTTATTTAGACATCATTGTGGCAGTCCCCCCTTTCACTTAATACTTTAAAGATTAAATGGATAAACATATTTGGTATCATTGCAATACGTTAAAAAGGATTCCTTTTGAAGAGGGACAATTGAAAAAAGACTTGTTTGTGGCTTTAATGGTGCGGACGTATTAGTTAGTTCATCCTGTTAAATAAGCAAACATGAAAGACATTTTTTAAAGTCATTTTTTAAATATATCGGTCGTTAAAGAACCTTCTATGATAGCGGACAAAATTAATTATATTTAGATATGTAATCGTACACCATTTCCTCATATATATTTTTTTTAGTCCAATGGTCGAAAGTTATGATTTAGAAATATACCTGCATTAAACTACTTTTAAATGACATAAATATCTCGGGAATCACACGACACCGTTTAGAATTTCTTGTGAGTTCAGAAACTTGCAGTACGGCCATATTCTATATTTATTCGTTTTTAAAACGATAGTTTAAAAGAAAAACCGAAAACGGTTACATGACACTTTCGTCGTAATTCAATGTTGAACGCAAAGTAACTATCTAAACTTTTCCCAAATAATGAATACATAATAAAATCTTTAATTTATCCATGTTTGAAGTAATATTTTATCTAAAGGTTTCTGAAGGCGTTTGATTGGACACCAGTTTATGTAGGCTTTTATCACTTTTATCCAATCAGCTGTCCTATCAAACATGAACATTTAAACACATGAAATGAAATATTACTATTTATTTATTGGAAAGATAGAATAACTTTATAAGTGTACAGAGGCAGAAATAAAGCCGAACGTAGATATGCTATAACAAATTTGACGATTTTTACGATAACAAATTATATATTTTCAAATCAAAGATTGAGCGTACGCCATGTTCGCACCCTGGAATCCGCCACTGACCTTGGAATTACAACATAGTTGATAAAATAACATCTTTGTAAAAACATATAAGAAATAGAAAAAGTTTCTCAATCCTTAAACATGTTAAACTGCGAACAATATCTGATAAATGTCTATACCATTCAAATCTTAAACCAGTGTTTCAAAATCAAACAAGATAAACAAAGTTTTTTAATTTCTGCCAAAAAAGTCAATGTTTTTTAGAATACTAAATACTAAAAAGTAAAAAGCTTGTACAATTAATAACATCTCTCTCCGATTATTCTTCCTCTGAAAATATTCGTAAGGGAAAGAACCGCAATTAATCTACTTGTATACTCAATAACCCTTTCAGTTAAGATTTGTCTAAAACCGATTCAAGTATTTAAGTACATCAAACGGAACTAAAACTGTAGAATGTGTGGGTTATACCTCAATAACACATCAAAACACTGAAAATGATAAATATTGAAAACTACAACAAAGGTTTAAAATTAACCTGGATAAGTAGGTTGGCTTATAAATGACTTGTTAGATGAATGTGATAATGTCATGACTTTTGATAACTTAAAAAATATATACAATATCAAAACTAATTTTCTTACATATCAAGGACTAATTACTTCAATAAAAAAGTATTTAAAAGAATATAATGTATGTCCCAATGACTTATTTATAGAAGCAAACTATCATTGGAACAAACCAATATGATAGCACTAAAAAATTATTTAAATGAAAACTTATTTCATAAAAATATAAGACTCAGAAAGGCAGGGAACTGCTGGAACCCCTGGAATTCCTTAATTGTCATAAAAACGACAGACACCATATATATATTATATAATTAAACATTTGTTTTCTCTTACCAAGGAACCTTTGTCTTGCAATCATATTCTACAATGTACCAAACTATTTCAGCTGTGTCTATTTGAGTTGTTGTTTATCTTCTGTCATATATATATATATTATATTATACATAAAATGTGTATAACTTACTATGATGTTCATGTGCAAATGAAAAGAAATTCATTATAAAAAAAGAAGACACCAGTCAAACGACAAAATCAACATAAGAACACAATTTACAACTATAAGCAGGTGAAAACACAGTATGTAAAGTTCCAAATCGTTACGATTTATATAAAAACTGTGATTACATTTGACAAAAACAATTAAAGAGATATAAGAAGATGTGGTATGAGTGCCAATGAGACAACTCTGCATCCAAATCACAATTTGTAAAAGTAAACCATTATAGATCTGCCTTTGAAACGCAATCCTACCAATAATGTAACAATTTTGGAGAAAGACTGAAATTGAAAAGAAATGTTTAAAGAACAAAATCTTTCACAACCTAAAGACGTATTTTCCCCTTTTTTTAACCCACAAGAAACCTTTCCCAGGAGCCATAGACTGAATATCCTCCACATAATTCTCAAACGTCCATTTGAATTGATGGTGTCATGTGTTAAAATAGTTATTGGGCAACCAATCATTAAATCTGCACGGTTGGGATGACCTTTTAATCTGAACACCCACGTCCGACATGACATATAACGAGTTACTTGTTGAATAACTTTAGCATATGGAATTTGGAAGCATAAATGTTTCATATTTCTTTATTTTTAATATTGAGATGCAGTTTAACGAGTTTCTCTCTCTCTCTCTTTCTCTCTCCCTCTCTCTCTCTTGATGTCTGAAAGTTGTCATATCTCTGTGTTTGGAGACAAAATCAATTTACCTTTACTGGAAGAGTCTAGTTTAAATTGTCAGACATCAAACTATTACATTGTATTTATAAAACTGTTATTATTAATATCGAATTGTATGACATTATCTAAGAATGCCATTTTTTTCATCACTTTTTAGGATGCCACCTTTATAACATTTACATATAAAATGATTTTTTTGACAAAATGTTTTATCAGAATCCGGTTTTACTTTCTAAAATTCGTTCTCCTCTATTTCTCTCAAGCTAATGTCATCGTCATATATATAATGTTTAATGAAAGACAATAAACACTTTGTTATGATCCCTAGACAATTTGCTCAGTTATCATGAGTGTTCACCGAGAAATGTTCCAAAATGTCAAACTATTGTGATCTTTAAAATTCCCCCTAATGACCTTTTACCACACCGTTAGAAATCTGCACCACTTTAGCACTCTACGACCGGTCGTTATCAGAGAGCATTATAACTATCTTCAAAAGTATACTTAAGTTAGCCATGAGGTAATTCGGACTATTAATTTATTTAATTTACCTTACTTGTCACCGTACTGATAGTAATAGAGACAACCAACGAAATAGGATTGTATCAAGGTATCAAATCGTATACAATTTTCCTTTTTTTATTTTTTTACAGTCCCTGGGTCAAAAGTTAGGATATAGAAATATACCGTAACAAAGCTAGAGCGTAATAGCATACAAATGAAAATTTAAAAAGTACATATCATGTTTGAGGAACTTTTACCCATCATTGTGACAGTCCCCAATTTAAACAAAGTAATGTTTAGATGAATACAAACTTTACAGATCGACGTTGATAAACATATCCAATACCCTGACAATTACAATTAAGAGGATGCCTTTTGAAGAGGAACAATGGAACAAAGACTTGTTTGTGCCTTTAATGACGCGGACGTATTTGTTAGTTTATCCTATTAAACAGCAAACCTTAAACATTTTAATATTCACTGTCAAGCTAGATAAAGTTAAGAAATATTATTGCATATGGTATTTACGAAGGATAATGTATCAATTTATATGTGCCAAAGTTGTAAATCATTGCTGTCTCATTTTTAATGTCTCTTAAAGGAATGTATTATTAGTGTTACAGACGTAAGATAAAAACTATGTTCTCAAACAAAATATGCATAACCGCATCATTAGAAAACAAAACTGAATTTGTTGAAAAAATAATACGTATTTATACTACACAATACACGGTTTTCAACGTATACACTGAATGGAATCAATCATGTCCTGATTATTTATTTTTAATGATGAATGCACAAAATTCAAAATTAACACGATCACAATAACATAGTATGCTTGTTTGAAATAAATGCAATGATCTATAGTCACAAACTGCTTTATATTTAGATTTTTTTAACCAGAGAAATCAAGATATTAAAAAAATTCCTTATTTTGTCTCTACTGTCAAAGAATGACCAATGTTATTCATGTCCTTTAAAATAGGGATTAGTTTTTATTTAAAAATAAACTCTAAAAGAAGTATGTGAGTCGGAAATGAATTACTTAATAAAATTTCATTCGGAACGCTATAACCCCTGATTTCAAACTTCAAAATGTATAGATATTTACATACTCGAGGAACAATATGACCAAAATGACCATTCAACATTTATAAAAAGAACAGACAAATCACTTGTCAACTCTACATTTATCGACGAAACGTTTCGATTATTACTTGTTTTTTTTTCAAAATGATTTGAACATATTAGAATATGGCAAATTTTTAACGTTTTATAAAGATTACAACAAAAGAAGTTAAGTTTAGAAACGATCCTGGTAAACTTATCGATCCTTAAAATAAACTTATTCTAAAAGGTTACCAATTCAACACTGTAATAAGTTCATTAAATATTGTTTTTATTGGTACTAATATTGATTTTGTTATCAGTAAATTAAAAGCAAACTAAATATTATTGTTATATACATATACACATTCATGGATCTACAATCTGTCGATACCTGTATCTTGGCATTGCACAAGGTCATGTTTTTTATCCATCTGATGAGTTACGCCTCTTTCAACTGATTTTTATAGTTCGTTCTTATGTTGTACTGATACACCACTGTTCCAGGTTAGGGGGATGGTTGAGATCCCGCTAACATGTTTAACCCCGCCACATTCTGTATGTATGTGCCTGTCCCAAGTCAGGAGCCTGTAATTCAGTGGTTGTCGTTTGTATATGTGTTACATATTTGTTTTTCGTTCATTTTTTGTACATAAATTAGGCCGTTAGTTTTCTCGTTTGAATTGTTTAACATTGTTTTTTCGGGGCCTTTTATAGCTGACTGTGCGGTATGGGCTTTGCTCATTGTTGAAGGCCGTACGGTGACCTATAGTTGTTAATTTCTGTGTCATTTTATCTCTTGTGGAGAGTTGTCTCATTGGCAATCATACCACATCTTCTTTTTTATAATTATCGGATTGTATTACGATTTAAGATCCTTCAACCTTCGAAATATGTTTTAAAATTTAAAACTTTTTGTTCTCTATACTAATGCATGTTAAGAGTGCAGCCAGATTGGCTATTCGATATATAACCTTCAAAATCCAACATGTTGCTAGCAATCGGTTCGATATTCAGATTTTCTAACTAAAAAGAATACAAATTCAAATATTGATTACCATGAAAATGGTATTTCTATGATGAACAGTAAAAAAAAAGGAAAATGGTTGACAAGAAATCATTTGTGGCCCATACACGTTATAGTTTATTTTCGATGTTCTTGCATATTAACGCACGTGTAAATCAACATTTGCTTTTGATAGTTTATAGATTTTTATTAATAAAAAAAATCTTATATGTACTTTTAAAACTTGATATCACATTTGAAATTAATAGAACAAACATATCATTATTTTATTAGTAACATGGCATTTCCTGCGGGGTTTTTAAGTTGTTTCTAGTTGTGACAACACTTTCCCATTATATGGCAAGGTTGGGGGCTCACAGCGGGTAAATTTCTGTCCTCATGGAAGGTTTCGCCGTCATTACAATGTCTTTAGTAGTTTTTTCACGCCTGCGACAGAAAGCTAGACACAGGGATTACAGTTCGTCGTCGTCGGAAGCGATGGCGTAATCTATTTGTATGAAAATTTATATTTCAGAAGTTAAAAGACCTGGATGCTTCCTACCTTGTATGCAGATACCTTATGTCACGACTTTTCCGTCTGTCATATGTCTATTGTCCTTTACCTCATTGTAACAGGTCAGGAATAACCACCAATTGGTGGATTATACCTCAATTGACGTATAATCCACCAATTGACATATATTGGTATAGACCAATTGACGTATAATGCAAGTTTTGTTGCTATAAAAACGCTAGTGTGAGATAGGAGCATCATTTTGCAACTTATAACTTCTTTATGACCATTATTGAGTCCTCCGAAAGTTTCAGTTTTGTCAAAGCCTGCTGCATTTCTTGAGAATGCATGTGTACAACAATTCTTTTGTTGAAACATCTGTACTATTGACCATGATTGACTTTTAATAATGAAAGTCAAGTATTAACAAAGAGCTCCATTCACCTGTGGAGTTATACTCATAATCACATGACTGCAGACAGTATTGATGTCAATTGACAGGTGATTAGTGGTAAATTTGCCAATCAAGAATTGACAAGATAACAATAGAAGAAACTGCAAATACAATTATTGATTAAATGCAATATGTTATGTCACTATACTAAACTAGGAATGTTTGACATGTTTTCATACAATAATATGGTTTTAAGAAAACAATGCTCCATCTTGGTTTAATAATTTGCTTTGAAAAACAAAGGATTATACGTCAATTGGTCTATACCATTATGTGTCAATTGGTGGATTATACGTCAATTGAGGTATAATCCACCAATTGGTGGTTATTCCTGACCTGTGTAATGGTTCAGCGATTGGTTGAAAAAAAATTAGTTTTTTTTTATGTTAATTTCTCACTTGTTGTAAATAATAGGATACTTATATTTGGTATTTGAGTTCCTTGCAACACCTACATGTCCACCAGACAGGGTTCACCTGACCTCAACCTAATTACACGGATCAGTGTTGAAGGTTAAAATGTGATGGTCAAGTCCATATCTCAGATACTATAAGCAAAATGTCAACATTATTTGGTGAATGGTTGTAAGATGTACATGTCCGACTGTCAGGTTTTTTTCTGACCATGACCTTTATATCATGGTTTATTGAACAATTTTAAGTGTTTGTGGTTTGGTCTATTTTTCAGGTACTATAAGCAATAAGGATACTTTATCTGGTGTAAGAAATGATTTTAAGATGTATATGTCTGTTACATGATCTTGATTTTTATTTCATGGTTCATTGGTCAATGTTAGGTTTTCATGGTTTTGTAAGTTTATTCGATATTTTAAGCAAAAATCGATTGTTTTTGGTGTTTGTTATTATTGTTAGTTGTACATGTCTGTATGGCAGGGTTCACCTGACTTTGATTTCATTTTTATGGTTCATTGGTGAATGCTAATTTTTCATGGTTTTGCCAGTGCATCAGGTACATTAGGCAATGGGGCAACTTTATTTTGTGTATTGAATGATTGTAAGCTGAACATGTCTGTCTGGCAGGGTTAATATCACCTTAACCTTATCATTATTATTCAGTTAAGAATTTTTTTTTATTTGATATATGTCTGTCCCAAGTTTAAGTACGAGCCAAATTTTATTGACATTGAAATACCAGGAAGGTCTCAGGATATTTTTTTTCCGTGGTCTCCTGTAGTTTTTACAATATTTTTCGAATATCAAGCTGACACTTTGATGATTTCTGTACACATTGAAAACAAAACAATCCATACATTTTTCATGTCTGAAGTTTGTATCTATATGTTTTCCAACTGAAGGCCTAAATGAGAATAATTGCGATTGGAAAATACGGAAGTCTAGCAAGCTTTCCAAAACCTTTTCACGGTTTTTTGTTCTTTGGTTGTAAATAGCAGATTGCCAGTTTAAGGCTTGTACGTATCTATAATCTTCTTTGAATACTTTTGTTTGTTAAGGCCTCATCCGACCCTGATCCTACTTTTAATAAGAATTAATTTGTGTCAATTTGAAAAAAAATACTGTTTTTTTTTATTTTCGTGACGTCCAAAATAGCAGAAGATTTACTTACTAAATGCAAGGAAAACAGGGTAATTGAATGAATCAAACCTTGACCAAACGATACAAATGTGACGTATACAGGAAAGGCGTCACTTACATTGGTAACTACCACAGACCCATAAGAAACGAATACTGGTGATTAACCTAACAAATGATATGTATGCAGGAACGGCTTGACTTGCACTGGTAAGTACCACAGACCTATGAGAACGCATAATGGTAATTAACCTTACGTGTGTGATGTATGTGGTACAGGATTTTACCACAACAGTTCTTTGTATAGACCCCTGATAAATCATATTACAGATAAATCGTACAAATATAAGGTATGTGGTAAAGAATTTTATAACAACATGGTAAAAGATTTTACCACAACAGTTCTTTGTATAGACCCCCGATAAATTATATTGGAGATTAACCGTACAAATGTGAGGTTTGTGGTAATGAATTTAACCACAACATGGTGAACGATTTTGCCACCAGAGTTCTTTGTATAGACCCTTACAAAATCATATTGGTGATAAACCGTACAAATGTGAGGTATGTGATAAAGGATTTTTTCTTTCTATAGACCCTTGAAAAATCGTATTGGAGATAAACCGTACAAACGTGATGATTCTGGTAAAGGATTTTAAATTGTGGTAAATTTTATCATAACAGTTCTTTGAATAGACCATAAAGAAATCATATAAGAGATAAACCGTACAAACGTGATATTTGTGGTAAAGATGAAATTACATGTATATACCTGATGAAATGACTATAGAAAGCTGACAGTAACTTTCTTTCACTGTTGATACATTCATTTCACGAATTAGCGATCGATATTGTTTTGGAGGAGGGGATGGAGCCCTTGAACATTAGTAAATGTATTTCGCTTTCAATTGATTACACTTTAATATGTGCTTTACTAAAGGTGCGTATACACGGTACAATTTCCAATCCAATATGGTACCTTAGCCAAGGTTAATCGTACAGCGTTATGTTCACTAGAACAATACGATTTTACACTCGATTAATCAAACGAGGTCCAATTTTAACATTGTAGGTTCTCACGACGTCACTGTAGACATCAATAATAATTTCCCGCTAAAGAAAACTTTGACAGAAAATAGATTGAAAACCAGCCTTGTTACTGAGGACTTTCTTTGCACCAATTTATTCGTCATTCAATTTTTAATATCAGATCGATAAAGAACAAGTCTGTGGACACACGATTACAAAAATTCTGTTAATGTAAAAATATCTGCCGATTTTCCCTTTAGAGTAACATCCCTTTTAACGCCATGTTTGAGATGTAGGTGCACAAATTCCTTAATAAATCAGCCGAATTCAACTTTCTATTCTGACCGCTTGATTTTAGAAAAAAAAATGGTCTTTTGAACAATTTTTATTTCTTTTAATTTAGTCATAACTACGATCTAGTAAGGAAGTCTAAATCGTATGTGTATTACTTGTTTCAATTTAGTTAGTAAAATAAGAAAATCAACAGTTTATCTTTCCAAAATGGCGAAAAAGGAGAATAACTCAAACGGCGATTAGTTCATTCGAAACCCTACTTATAGTACTGTTCATATGATGAAGAAATAATTTTTTGTTCAGTTTAATAGAGGCCTGGAGCTTGCAGGTCAGTAACTGCTAGTAGTACTTTGTAAATTTGTGTTAAACAATGTCATTTTGCTTAGTTTCTTCTGTTACCTTTTCTAACATAGTTCTCGAACTTCTTTTAATTTGAGATATACTGTGCGTATTGCTGTTTATTTGCTTATTCAAAAATCCGAACATCACAACTGACAAACTTTCATACATGGACCACGCATTACCAAAAGTACAATTGAGTTGATAACTGATCAGTTAAGGTCTGATTTTTCATGGTTATGGCTAAAAAAATTTAATGTCCCAAACGACATATTTCCTTAAATGTCAGTCTATCTAAAAGGTTTTCTGATCTTAGCCTTTCACATATTGCCCCCAAAATTATTAAAAATTTTAATTTGGGGGTAAGACATATGAATCAAAACATATCATTCTGAATCTAAAATGTCCCAATTCAGTATATCAATTGTTCCTTTGAACATTTGGCTAAATAAATTTAAAGTCATTATGGACCTGTTTACCCCAATGTTAATTATTACTGGAACAACTATTGCCATAACTGCTTCGGAAACCTTGACCTGTTGTGATTGTAGACCGTATGGTCAAAACATAAATCAGTCTTCGTCATGCGATGGCACATTATCAAGCCACATTTAGTTTACTTTAGACATGGTTCAAAATATATCGTCCGGAAACCAGCACAGCCAATTTGAAATTGATCAATAGCTGTTTCGACCTTAACCTTTTACGCCAAGATCTCAAAATCAATTAGGTTCTATCTGTGACTGTAGTAAGTATCATGAACCGAAATGTCCCAATTTTAGTTGGGTGTTTGACCTTGACCTTTGGCTACAAGTTTTGAAAAGGTACAAATAACCATGGCTCAATATTGTGTAAGGAAATGGAAATTCTGAAGAAAGATTCATCATATAATAAGCCGAATTAGATTTCATGCACTCTTCTATCATAGCAGATTTTGTCAGATTATAACTGAATGTTGTAATTGCAAAGGCTGCGTACAGCGGTAATTCGGATAAATGATGAATGATATGTACCAATTTGCCATGTATTTCCAAGAAATATTGTTAAAAACCCTCCTTTTCCAAAGATGATACTATCTGAAACGGTACTTTTAATAAATTAAGAAATCAACCAAACATGACAATATCTGAAATTGTCCTGTTAACAAATTAATAAAACAACTAACAATAAGACTTTCTGAAATGGTTGTTTTAACAACGTAACAAATTAACAAAATATAACTCTATCTGAAATGGTCCTTTTAATAATTGAACAAATCAACAAAAGCTGACACTTTCTGAAATGGTCCTTTTAGCAAACTAAAAATTAAAACCAAAGAAATTAATAAATCAACCAAATATCACACTATCTGAAATGGTCCTTTTGAAAAATGAACAAATCAACAAATAATTACACTATCTGAAATGGTCCTTTTAACAAATTAATAAATCAACCAAATATGAAAATAAGAAAATGTAGTATGAGTGCCAATGAGACAACTGTGTAAAAAGTAAACAATTTTAGGTCAAAGTACGGCCTTCATCACGGATCCTTGGCTCACACCGAACAGCAAGATATAAAGGGTCCCGAAATGACTAGCGTAAAATAATTGAAACAGAAAAATACAACGGTCTAATCTATTTAAAAAAAACGTGAAACGAGAAACACTTATGAACCACAACAACAAACGACAATTTAGTCTATTTCTATTGTATCCTACAGTTACACCAAAACCATTGCACCCAAAGTATTTAACTATAAACAAGCATTGCAGGACCTTGATTTAGAACAATACCTAAACAACCCTCTGACATGTGACTGTTCCCACTCGCCTTATATTTACAGACCCTCTAAACATAATTCAACATGAACATCTGCGAAAGGTAATATCTCATGGTCCGAAGTTTAGAGAACCCCAACACATCAATTGAAACCATAACTTCAAAATAATTATGGATTCCATTGAGGACTACGCAAGAGCATGGGCTAACGAGAAGAAGTTGAACTAGACACATTGTCAGAATGGGTTAAAACAATCAGGTCTCTGATAAAACGTTGCATTTATAAGTTGAAAAACTCTGTGAATGATCGACCAAAGTCCGTTTTCAGAGACAAAGAGGCTGTGAAATGTCGATCATCTCTTTACGATAAGTATGTTGTTGTTCCTGCGGACAAAGCTTCACATAATATTGTTTTTGTATGTAAATCGTTCTACTACGAGTGTCTTGTAAAAGATTTAGTAATAAAAGAGCACTAAAGTAATCCCACATGCAAAAACATATCATATGACAAGGTTGAGATTTTGGCGAATCATAAGTCCTTCATGGCTTCAATGAACATTACATTGAACAGCAAATCGTAGGACTTACCTTGTTTGTATTGGTTACCTAAGCTTCACAAAATTCCGTACAAACAACGGTACATTGCCGGCTCATCTGCATGTTCGACTAAAGAAATGTCCATTAAATTGACAAAAAGTCTATCCGCAGTGAAAGAGGGTCTTCAGAAATACTGTGAAACTGTTTACTTGCGTAGTGGTATTAACATTATATGGATTCTAAAAAAACTCAAAAGAACTTCTGGATAATTTAAAATCTCGATCTTTTTCTGAAATTAGTTCTATCAAAACTTTTGATTTTTCAACCCTGTATACCACCATTCCCCATGTGAAATTGAAAAATCGTCTAAAAGAAATAATCCACAATGCTTTTCAACATAAAAATGGTAGCATACGCTATAAATTTATTACTTTGGGATACCATTTGGCATATTTTGTTAATAGAACAAGTGATCAGTATACTGGAGTTTCTTATTGGCATCATATTTGTTGAATTTGGAGGTAGAATTTTTCAACAAATTTTCGGCATTCCTATGGGAACGAACTGTGCGCCTCTCCTTCATATGAGTCGTAGTTCCTTCAGACACTTGTCAAAAACAAGAAGATCAAAGAAGCCAGATTATTTAATTTCACATTCAGATATATCATGTATATTAATGATGTTCTTTTCATTAACAATCCTAACCTTTCTGATTGGGTTCCATTAATATATCCCCCAGAACTAGAATCTAAAGAAACAACAGACACGGCTTCCTCCGCCTCATTTTTAGACTTATACCTCGAATTTGACAAACGCGATCATCTCAGTATCAGAATCTATGACAAACGAGACGATTTTAATTTTGAAATAATCAATTGCCCCCACCTTAGTAGCAATATACCAACTTCACCTGCATAAGGGATATATATTTCCCAACTGTTTCCGTATTCAAGAGCTTGCAGCTGCTACTTAGACTTTGTAAAACGTCTCCAGTGTCTGAGAAGGAAGTTGATGAACCAGGGGTATGTCGAAGAACGTCTCGTCCTTTTTCTAAAAAAGTTCATCGGAAGATACTAATACCAAGACCTTGTTGATAAATATTCCGTATCAACT